CCCCCCCCAACACAACAGCAACAAACGATCAACACAAACAACATCGCAATGCTCAAAGAGGTAATGAAATTTTCATCACTTATTTTCTTTTTGTTATTTTACTAATGTCTAAATTCCAAAGTTTGCAGGCCTCAGATCTGGCAATGGCAGGGTCTCTGCGAAGGAAGTTCCCAGTTCCGTATCTCATGACCGTTCTTCTATTTCATACGAAAACAATTTCTTATTAATTTCGTAATTAAGATAATCACATAATACCCCACGTTGCTTTTCAGTAGCATTTTCTTTTCTTTTGTGAAAAATGTTCCTGTTCCAATAACTATTTTAGTTAAACATTTCATATACATCTATATACATATATTTGCCACCAAAACGGCACCTAAAAAAGATCCCAAATTTTTTTTTAAATAAAAAAATCAAACAACAACAACAAAACAAACAAAAGCCAACAACAACAACAAAAAACAAAAGAAACATAAATGTACATGTCTTTTTTAAAAGTTCAGAATCGGTGATTGACTAAACACTGGTATAGGATTCTGCTGCTCAGTATGAAACAAATGTTGCCTTGAAACTTGACACAATAATTGTATAATTATTTCAGGGAATGAACAGATGGAGATGTAAGGAGAGACTCCGAAGTCAACTCTGTCTGCAATGCATTATGTATCAGTTTCTTCAGTTGTTTCATAACATGCTCGTTACTTATTCTTATCAAATCGAAACCTCATTTCCTGTTTCAGAAGGCCCACCAATGCCACGAAGTTTCCTGTTCAAAGATGACAACACTCTTGCCATGCTTTTTCTTTTCATTTTCTTTTACCCTATCCCTACGCCCTGGGGTCATTTTGTACCCCCGGGGTTGTATTCTTCACATTTTAGAATACTTCTAGTACGAAGATTTCTTTGAAACTTTCAGTATTACTAAAAAAATCATTTTGACAGACTGCTTTTCCAAGCGCACGTATCGGATTAACGAGTAAATTTCCTCTTTGGAAAGTGGTGGCTCAGAGTTCCCCACGTCGTATGGATACGATAGTAAAACACGACGTACGGACGATTTAATTGAGATTTCAGCTCTTAGCCCAATGTATTAGCCATTATGAAGATCATCTTGGATTTATACGAGTAGCCGAAGAAACCAAGGCAGACACATTTTTTTTCTGCATTTTTGCACATTTTCAAAATGGCAGGGGTGGTATTAATTCTTTTATTTAGAAATTTTTAAACATTTTATTTTAAAAAAAATTCTTTTCAAAAGTCCGGTAACAGGTTTAATAATGTTTCAGCATTTCCACAAGGGTGTTTTTACTTCTGTTCTCTCATCGCGTATGTTGATACTTAATTTGTTTGTCTAAGTATGAATTGTGATT